AATGTGATTATTTTCTTTATGTGTAATACTTATTTTTCTCTTTTGACTTTGGGGTGAGTCTTGTGAAGTGAAAAGCTGTGTGTTTGAAATTAAACCATCAATGCGTTTTTAACTTCAAATCTTTGCTTCTGGCTACAGTATTTTTCACAACTTTTTGTCCAGTGAAAAAGTCATCTCGTCTGAATCAGGAGAGAAATATGCACAGATAAAGCACCGTTTACATTTGAAAACAGTTCTAAAAAACATGTAGAATTTTGATGTGAGAGGATAACAGGAGATGGACTTTTTCACTGGAGGAAGTGTTAATATGGATTAAAGACTGGTATTTGTGTTTCGTACAAACACAGCTTTTTGCTTCAGAAGATGGTAATTGTCGGACTGGCATCATGTGGATTACTTGTGGATTATTGTGATGTTGTTATCAGCACTCTCATTCTGACGGCACCCATTCACTGCAGGGCATCCACTGGTGAGAAAGTGATGGAACGCTACATTTCTCCAAATCTGTTCTGATGAAGAAACAAACTCATCTACATCTTTGATGGCCTTCAGCAAATTTAAATTTTTGGGTGAACTATACCTTTAAGTAACGAGTAATGATGTTTGTCTTAAATAGAAGTGTTAAATATCTAGTTGCAGGGGGTGAGGTGACGGGCAGAATTGTCTCGCTCCCCTCCAGCGGGTTTGGCAGAGCCCTTCATCACCTGCTATCAGCGAGCGACATCACACCCTCCGTGCTCTCCGGCAGGCCCTTTGAAGGAATGGCAAGGACAAGGCTGAGGAATAATCTGGCCCGCTTCTGATCTCTTATTTCTTTATTTCGAGAACGAGAGGGGGGAAAAACTATGAATAATGCAAATGGGAGTTCAATCGGCTCACCCAAGATGACTTCATTTGGGTTTAAAAATACACCCCTGCTCAAAGCCGTAGAACTGGAACAGCGCTCAACTTAACTCACAAACCATCTAAAACAGTCCTCTGGGATTGTTGTCTCATGTTTTTAAAGATCTCTGGCAAATATAACCACGGGAGACAGGCTTTGTTGAAGCTGCCAAACGTACAACGTTTGTGACGCAGAAAATCCCACAATTCATCTGTCACTTACGGGATATAAACATCCGATGTAATACTACGCACAAACAAAAGTTTTCATTTGTAATTTCATTACAGAAAGGTGTGAATAAATGCCTTGATTTTAAAGCATTTTGACCAAATATGAAATCAAAGGATTTGGATGGCTGAATCATGCATTTACATATAAATGACATACTATGATTCATGTCACAGCCTTAAAGCAACCCCCTTTTTTTTAGTGGTCTGTCTTAATGCTCCAGATGAAAAGAAATGTAGTTTGAGCGACGAAAAGTAATGAGCAAAGGAACATAAAAAGATCAGTCCATTTGTAAGAATGGCAATAAAACAATGCTGCAATATCCAGCTGCTATGTAAAAAAAGATAAAAGGCAATTTCTGTGAAATATATAATTAGGCTAGGTTTACATCTTAAAGGGGTCATATGATGCGATTTAAATTTTTCCTTTCTCTTTGGAGTGTTACAAGCTCTTGGTGCATAAAGAAGATCTGTAAAGTTGCAAACACTAAAGTCTCAAAACCAAAGAGATATTCTTTATAAAAGTGAAGAGTCAACCACGCCTACCTAAAATGGCTCGTTCTAACACGCCCCCACACTATGTGGGAAGATTTGCATAACAACGCCCAAATGTTCACGCAAAGAAAGAAAGCGTAACTTTTATTCTCAGTTTGTCATTTCTCCGATCACAAATGCAGACATGGTTTTATGTTTATGCGGCGTGATGCAATGCAACGCCGGGACAAGGCATCACAATATGGCAAGGGGCGTAACATTTCCGTCACACGCTTGAGGTATTCGGCCAATCACAACGCACTGGAAAGCTGGCCAATCAGAGCACACCTGGCTTTTCAGACCGATGAGATCATATGACCCCTTTAAGTAAAAAACAAATACAATCATAGATATATATGTTACTATACATACACTTTGTAGTACAGAACATTGTATAGTGGAAACATATAAACAGCAGAACCAGAGTAAAAAAGCGTGTTATCTAACCAATGGCTTATTATAACTTATATTATAACTCATAAATGGGTCATTTTTGTTCTGTGGCACCTTTTGTAATCTGTAACTCTTAAAGCATAAACATTCCCTAATTAAGTATTTCCATAAAAGAGTATATCAGTATTTCAGAACGGGGCACTGGTCAAGGTCAGACTCTTAAACTTTATGAATTATAATAAATTAGTAATTTACACAACAGCAAGAATAACAGTATGGAAATAAAAAGCTAACGTTAGCCAGTTAGCCATTGCTCAGGTATTAGAAGCTAGCATGCATAGGGATTGTATTATCTTTTAAAATTTTGATTTCACACAGATTTTTGTTATGTCAAACAGGATAAAACGTGAAACAAATCAACTTATAATACAATAAATCTTAATAAAATTAATCAAATCCATAATACTTACCGATTCTCAACCGGTGGTTTTCCCTCTAAAATAACATCACTTCCTGGAGGACAATGTGATTAAAGGAACACTCCACTATTTTTGAAAATAGGCTCATTTTCCAACTCCCCTAGTTGACGTAATAATCAAGGAACAGCAGGCGCAATGATATTACGCAGCGCCAGCGAGATGCTAATGGTCTAATCAGATTGAATGATCTATGCTAAGCTACAGCTAAAAGTGCTACCGCCAGACCCGGAGATCGGCTGAATGGATTCGAAAACGGTAAAACTCGACTGTTTATCTCTAGGGGAGTCGGAAAATGAGCCTATTTTCAAAAATAGTGGAGCGTTCCTTTAATAAACTGGCTTTTGCCTGTTAAAAGTCTAAATGGATGGTTTAACCTCTATGTTTCTTAACTGATAATATGATAAAATAATAATAATATAATTACAATAATATAATATAATAAACTATTTTCTATTGTGCCTTTAAAAAGTAGCATCTCAAAGTGCTTCACAAGAATAAGATTAAATAAAACATACAATTATACAATCAATACATTAAAGAAAATTAGATAGTAAGATGGCGCCGACGCTGATGGCTGCCTCCGTGGCGTGATACAAAAATAAAATACATGCTATCAAAAGATCAACAAAAAGAGAAATTTTCCATGTTAATTTCCATGTTAAAAATGGCATGTTCAATATTTCATCAATAAACCACATGAAAATCTGCTGAATAGCTAAAGTAATGGCCTCAAACATCAAAGACTCTCAAAATGTGCTTCATTTGCAAGTAAATCTGATTGCAGAAAGACTATAGGGGAGATTCTGTCATATCAAGCTGTACACATCAAAGCCGCCAAGGCATCTTTAGATGACGTTTGAATAAATATAACGCAAGAGGGCCTCATTTTCGATTAGAGCAGCGCAGATAACCCACGGCAAACCCTCTGGACAAACGATGATTATCCGTTTTCTATAATCTTAAAGCTCTCCTTTGCTGGTGCGTCCCCTGAGGCTTTGGCCTACACATAAATGTACCGAACCAATGGAGGATTGTCTTCAAACACTTCACTTTCAGATATTGTTGGAGACGTGCTGGAAATCAATGGCAATTTAAAATAAGTGCATCTTATCAAGAATGAGAAAACAAGGTTAGGTAAAGAGCTTTTATCTGTGTGCCACATGTTTCATCTCCTCTAATAAGAAAACCGCGGCAGCAGTGAAAAGAAATGGGACGCGTGAGACAACAAATCAAGCGACCTGAGAGTAGTAACACCTCTGAACAGAACTCCTTGACCTGGACTCCGTTCACGGAAGAATGGATGTGATTTCAGCACCTGGGATGTCATGTCACGGACAGCACACTGAAGAGCGGCATGATCTGGCATAATGAAACCGCTCTCTGTGACAAAATGCAAGATGTCCTTTTGACCAATGAACTTCCATGACCTTTATATATTTTTTCCAGTTGTTTATGATTATAATGGTTTTAAAAAATTATTTTGCATGACACAATCTTTCAAGATATAAAAAATAAAAATAAAATCTAAACATTTTTAATAATATATTTTTTAAATAAAGCAAAATTTTTTGCTTAAAGAAAATGTGTTCATTTATATAATAATATAAAAAAATATAGTTTAGGTATTTAAAAATGTTTGTTTTTTTCCCCACTATTTTATAGTAAGACTTACTATACTGAAATAATGAGAATCATCATTGAGATTAATTACCAATGAACATCCATGACATTTAAATGTTTTTTTCCCCCAGTTGTTTATGATCATGAGGGTTTTAAAAAAAATTATTTTGTGTGTTAAGTCACATGAAATATTTTAGGTTTTTAAACATTTTTAGTGTTTTTTACAGTATTACTTAAAAAATAATATATTAATATAATGTGAATTTAGTAAGACTCACTAAGAATAATTACTAAATTGCTAAAAAAAAAAGAAGAAAAAAAACATTAATCTGGATTCAAATCACTTTTAAACATCTCCCATAAAACAAAATAAGTCCCGATGTGAATGTTTATCCCTGAGGAAGACGATTGTTAGTCAATTTTGTAAGACATTCTCATACATTATAGTTATTAGCAAATATACAACTCCCAATGTGTCAAAATTTATATATTTATTTTCATGCTCTTCCCCTGAATTTTAATAATTGCTATGACCTTTATAGAAAAGCATACCTACAGATCAAACAGCGCATGGATCTAGCAACACTTAAATCATGGGTTAATAATGAGGTAATAAAATGCATACCATGAATGCAAAGCACAAGCACAAAACCACAATTTTAATATTCACCTCAGGGATGCTGTAAAACATCTTCACTCTTGTATCTGTTAATTGCTATTGCAGGATGCAAATTGCCTAAAACTGAATAAACTGACTAGTACCTTGATGGGCATCAAAAAGATGATGCCTCAGGAAGAATGTTACCTACATTTAGTGGCTCATGCATCAGTAATACAAGCACATCTGCTGTATATGCAAATTATTTCATCTTCAGTAATGAGCGGAAAAGCATGCAACGTAATTACCAACAACAGCACTGAACAGAGAGTGAAGACGAACAAGAAAAACAGTTACTGGCATTACATGGATGTCATGTTTCCAAATTTATTTGCGCTTTCAGAACTACCATTAATAAGGCAACAAGAACGTCAACACCAAACACCTTTGTTAGAAACTGAACTTCAATCATCAAGAAAATATTTAATACCAAACTGGCATTGGGACAGTCATGTCTCTATTGTAGCAGAAGATGGATGTGTTGTTAAGCTAACACCAATGCTCAATATGTTTCGCAATATTACAGAGGCACAATTCAAAGTTAAAATGCAGCACAAGCTGTCTCACCAAAGCAACACAATAAATAGTAATAGCTACAATTCATTAAACAACAACACAAACAACAACAACAAAACCAGACATGAACAGAAGAAATACTTTGGTGAGGGCACCGATTCCCTGCTACAGTGATTTTAATGAATAACTGAAAGAATTGTACATGAAAAGTACTTTCATTATAACAACAACTTGCTGTTTGATGTGAAATGTCTGGTGTGCAATGAACGCTAAAACAATCAAGCCTCATAAATCAGTCCTTCCTTTCCTAACATAACAGCCTGAAAGTGTCATCAGAGGAATAATCACATTCTTGATGGAATATTTTTCCCGTACAAGTCGTACACGGAGACAGGAATGACGCCCTGACTACCCTAGCTGTCATTAGCAAAAAAAAAAATCACACCATGTTCCAGACCTGGACCCCGGAAAACACGGCAACAGTGGGTTGAGGTTGTTTTTAGATCTCTTGGGTATGAACTGATGCAGAAACCCACATAGAGATTCCACGTCTCCATGGAAACAGTGCCAGCTCATCCTCAACCCCTCCCCTCATTCTTCCCTCCGTTCCTGCCGTCTCTTTAGCAGTGAGCACACTGTTCCGTTCTCATCAGAGAGCCGCGCTGCATGGACGACACCTTGGTGACATCAGTGGTCACCGTCGAAAGTGGGAAGCTCTCGTAGGTCTCTGGAACGCCCCAGCCGCAATGGCAGCGTTGAAGCATCACCTTCAGCTCCTTCTGGAAGTTGGTGTTGAGGAAGCCATACACCACCGGGTTCACGCAGGTAGACGCCATTGCCGTGAGGTGGCAGGCTGAGAAGATGACGTCGTGCTGGCAAGAAGGAAGCACCTGGTGGTACCAGTCAAAGATGGTGTTGAAGACGTTGAGCGGGAGCCAGCAGAGAGCAAAAGCGACCACGATTATAACCAACATGGCGTTGACGCGCTGAGCGCCCCGCGCCTTCCTCTGCCGGGCCTCGGTGGCTTGCTCCACCATGTCTTTCCGTCGGCGTAAACGCAGGAATATGCGCAAGTAGCAGAGTAGAATGAGAAGCAGGGGTAGGCAGTATTGGAAAAGCAGAAGCGAGGTGGTATACGCCAAACGGTTGCGTTCGGACGGCCAGAGCTCCATGCAAATCAAGTGGTCGCTGAACGGGTTGAATGGTAGGCTGAGGTTCTGGAACGGGGCGTTAGTGAGGATGTTAAAGGACAGGAAGGGTAGGGAAATTAAGCAGGCCACCATCCAGGTGACCGCCACGGCCAGGTAGGAATGGCCTGCAGCGGGCGTCCAGCCGGTGGGGTGGATGATGAGTTGATGCCTCTCCAATGCGATGAGGACCAGCGAGAAGATGGAGACCGTGATGGACATGCACTGCACGAACGGCGTGACCTTGCACAGCGTCTCACCCAGGATCCAGCGATCCATGAGCGTGTAGATGACCGTCACGGGGAGGCACACCACGCACATGAGGATGTCGGAGCAAGAGAGGTTGGCGATGAGGATGTTGGTGACATTCCTCATCTCCTTCTGTCTGGATATGATGAAGACCAGACAAGTGTTGCCCACCAATCCCACCGCAATAACGGTGCTGTAGGCCACAATCAGAAGGGTCGTGCCACTCACAGAGGGAGGGCAGACGTTGGACTCTGCCCATGTTCTCTGGCCCAACCCAGCTGAGGTGTTGCTGATGTTGTCCGAGTTTGGAGAGGCCTCCATAAGTCCCAAAGTTGTTTGAGGAGCAGCTAGGCGTTCACAAAACTGTTAAACAGCAGATGAAAGATGACTCATTGTTTAGGTCCTTCCATTTATTTGCAGACAGCCAGTTGGCTGACCTGGAGGAAAAGGAGCACATAAAGACTGTTAGCTGGCATTAAAAATTGACAAAATGTAACTTTGCAAGTGAGTCTCTGGGAAAGGTTAAGCCCCCTTAATCCAACAGATGTTTGTGGACTTGAAATCTGACCATAAACATCTTGTTTAAGGAGAAAACATTGCAAATCTCTCAAGTATTTTCAGCTGATTTAATGATTATTTAATGAATTAGCTAACGTGTATCCACCAAAACACACGATTCATTCTGCTCTAATAACGGCAAGAACTCAACTAATACTCTTTGCAAAAAACTCCCTCGGGATGTTGACAGGTCATCCTGTCTGTTAAGCTGACAGATGGAGGTCTCTCTCAGTAGAATTCTCTCTTTATCCCTTTTATCTCAGAGTTCTCTTTTATTTGCCCTAATATGGCTTTTATGTGATAAAAGCAATAAAAATAATCATATCTCAAACTACAGATTTAAAAGATGTTGACGTATTAGCACATTTTTACACAGTATTTACTTGACAGGTTTACCTTGTCAACCTCAGTCAGTCTGAAGGGAATAGAGAATCTTATTCAGTAAAATACTAGAACTGAATGATCATGTAATAATGTTCAGTTCCGTTAAACAGTTTCGTTTTAATAAATGGTACTGTACTTTACAATAGTGTTACCAAGAACGGTATTATTTTTGTTAAGTACTGTTTGTTTGTATAGTATGGAAACATACTCAAAACATACAAAACAAATGCAATTGTTAAGTGAAATTTAAACAGATTTGTTAAACTCCTAACTATTTCCTATATACTTTAGTAAGCAGTGCATCTAACTTGACTTCACTTGACTCCTGTAATGCATACAGATTGGCAAAAGCATCAAATATTTTACTCCCGCAGTCACTTTGGATAATTTATTCCTTGCGCCGACCACTCTGAGTTTCTGGATTGAGTAAGTGTTGTAATTAAGCCACTGCTAATATACTCTCTCTCCTCCAAACCAACTGTCAGGAGTTTCACACCAGCTTATTACGTCATTCATCTCACATGGAGTGGGAAGCTGATTCAGGGAATGCCTTACTGAGAGTATCTACTCCAAAGTTTCAATCCTTCACAGCTCTAAAGAGCATCATTTATCACACAATCTTTTAAAGAGGACCTCTACAATTAGCATTTTTGCGAATGAAATGAGAATGAAAAAGTGCTTTTTAATGCAGCAAAAGAGTGCTTCCGGTTTTGACTAAAAATTTTGAAGGAAAAAAAAAATAATAAAATAAAATAAGTGGTACTTTGCCATGAAAAAAAAACGTAGCAATACAAGACTAGGGTGCTCTGAGTGGTTGCCAGGGCATTGTTGTGCAGTAGCTAAAATGTTCTGAGTGGTTGTTAGGCCATTGCTAGATGTTTTGGATGGTTTTGTTCTGAGTGGTTGCTATTGTATTGCTAGATCTCTGATAGACTATTTGCGGTAGCTAAAGGGTTTAGAGTGGTTGCTAGGCCAGTGCAGAGCATTCTGAGTGGTTCCTTGGGTGTTGCTATGTGGCTGCTAGACATTTCGAGTGGTTGCCAGTTCATTGCTATGTGGAATTAAAGTGTTCTAAGTGGTTGCCAAGGTGTTGCTATGTAGCAGCTAGATGTTTTGAGTGGTTGCCAGGGCACTGTTAGGCGGTATAAGGGTTTTGAGTGGCTGCTAGGCCAGTGCAGAACATTCTGAGTGGTTCCTTGGGTGTTGCTATGTGGCTGCTAGACGTTTCGAGTGGTTGCCAGTTCATTGCTATGTGGTAATTAAAGTGTTCTAAGTGGTTGCCAAGGTGTTGCTATGTAGCAGCAAGATGTTTTGAGTGGTTGCCAGGGCACTGTTAGGCAGTAGCTAAAGGGTTTTGAGTGGTTTCCAGGACAGTGCAAAACTTTTTGGGGTGCTTCTCAATCAGCTCCCTAGCTCCCGACTTTGTGAATCAGTATATCGTGCACACGAATCCGGTCACCTGTAAGTACCCTCACTGCACATTGGGACAGTGATTACTCATTTTCCGGCGACATGACTACATACAACGTCAATGGACAACATTGTAGAAGGTCATTGCTGGAATTAATCAACAACAGGCAGGACCAATTTCTTTTTTATATTATTTTTATTCTCTTTAAACACATTGTTCTGTTACATGTCCTTACAACATTTCAGCCGAATATTAATTATAAACATTAGATGTGTTCACTACCTGTCTAGCGATGTGTGTTTATGCTGAAATATAGTATAAAAAAAAAAACGGTTTGTCTTTTCAAATCTTTTATCGCGTATCATTATATTTATTGAGCTGGCTCGTATGATTTATGTTTAGCGTTTCAGAAATGTGACTTAATTTCCGTTAAGGGAGCATAGTGAGCATCAATGCTCACTAGTTTTTGCAGTGCATTGTGGGATTTTTCAGGGCGCGAACATTCCAGTGGACTGGAAGGATTTTGCGATTGAGACAGCCCTTAAAATCCGACTCCCTGATCAGTGCCCTGACTACTGAACTAGGGAGCTGATTGAGACGCACCTTGGGTGATTGCCAGAGCATTGTATGTGGTAACTAATGTGTTCTAAGTGGCTGTTAAGGTGTTGCTATGTGGCTGCTAAATGTTTTGAGTGGCTGCCAGTGCATTGTTATGTGATAACTAAAGTGGTCTAAGTGGTTGGTAAGGTGTTGTTATGTGGGTGGGTGTTATGAGTGGTTGCCAAAGCATTGTTATGCAGTAGCTGAAGTGTTCTGAGTGGTTGCTAGGTTGCTGCTAGACATTTTGGGTGGTTGCTAGGCCATTGCTAGATGTTTTGGGTGGTTGCCAGGTGTTTACTAGAGTGTTCTTAGTGGTTGCTGATAGACGATTTGGTTGGTTGCCAGAGTGTTCTGAGAGGTTGCTAGGGTGTTGCTATGTGGCTGCTAGACATTTCGAGTGGTTGCCAGTGCATTGTTATGCGGTTGCTAAAGTGTTTTGGGTGGTTGCTAGGGTGTTTCTAGGTGGTTAGTCTAAAGGATCCACCCCCAAATGTCTATTCTGGTCCCTAAATATGGCTTGGATCTCTTCTTTAATGCAAGATTGGCACTTCCCAATAATGTTTCACATCAGTAAACTAACACAATTCACTATATATTAAATGTTCTGTGCAGTATTTCTCTTTGGAAGTTGTATTTTGATTTGTGTAAGTAGTTCGTGTGTGACACCTTGTGGTGAAAAATATTATTACACTACTAAATAGAACGCAACAGGAAGCACGTTAAACAGTAGAAGAAGATATTGGATGCATTTCCTCGCATCACAAACAAAGACACCCATCGTCTGAGAGACCTTGGAGATTGCTGCTTGAGCTGCAGTCAGCAAAAGAGAGCGGTCGTTTACCTGGACTTGCTTACCTTGACACAGTGCGGGGAGTCAACCCCATCGTAGAAAAACTCCCGTTCAGTCTTCAAGACAAATGGATTACGCAAGGTTCCAAGTACAAAGAAGACCATAACGTATATTTTCCTCCTTTCAGCTTCTTTGTTGAATATGTTTGTAGACAAGCAAAAACTAGAAACGACCCTAGTTTTGCCCTTGCTTCAACTGGCTACTCGAACAACACAAAATCCGACGGAGCTGCCAGGTCAAGTAACAGAACTTCCGTCTTTGTCAAGAAAACAGAAATAATGGCTGCATGATATTTGTAAATCACTTTGTAATTTGTATCATTTATGTTTCTTTAAGTTTTACAGTAAAGTAAAGTGTGCATCACATAAGCACAACGAAGAACGTGTGATGGAGCTTTATTTCTGTTAGCTATCTGTCAACGCATGGTTCAGAACACCATTGCCAGGGCAGAATATTAAATATGCAATATACTGATATGAAATGTATGCAAATGTGACGTTATAACTGGCAAAAAGAATTTGAATGATTTTTCTCTTTAGCTAGATTTATATAACTATTTAAACTGGCTAAACCATTAAAAACTTTTATTAAAAATGCCAAAATAAAATGTGTAGAAGAAGTCACTAATGCAGTAAAGCATTCTAAGATAGAGGTCAGATGTGAGAACATAATATATCTGATATATGATACCTCTGATAGATGTGTCCTTCAGAGGATATAAAGTTTCGTATTACCACAGCACTGACATGCTGAGATATAATGGCATATATCAGAGGCAGCAGTATCAGAGGTTTGTGTATGTGTGTGGAGAGAGTGACTCAAGAATTTAAGGGAGTGTGTGAAATTACATAAGGCAGAACTAAATTAATCATCTAATTTTCATATCACACAGACAAGTCTGAGCGACATGCTTTCATAACCGTACATAGAGATTCGCTACTTGTGCAAATCAAATGCTCATTGTCATTTATAAATAATAATCATTTATAAAGATAAAAAGAACTGAGGAAATGAATAAACCAAAAAGACAAAAACGAAGGCAAATGAGTTACAGTGTTTCCAGCAGACATTTAAATCAAGCTGAGGTCAAAAAGCACATTTTAAGGGAACAGTTCACCCATAAAAATGAAGATTCGTTCATTATTTATTCACCTTCTTGTCATTTCCAAACCCCTGGACTTTCTTTCTCAAACACAAAAGAAGAAATTTGTAGCAGAATGTCCATACAATGAAAGTGAATGGTGACCACCGCTGCTAAACAAGAAGACCTGAAATATAGCATAAAAGTCATATGAACTACTACTATGTTTATATATACTTGGTTTGGAGAGATTGTTTAATCTTTCATACAATTATATACAGTATATGCATTTCTTCTTCAAAAATTGTACTGGCTATACTTTTACAAAATAAGCATTTTTTACTGCCTATTTGTCAACTACCCCTATATATACTGTATATTTACTGTATATATATATATATATATATATATATATATATATATATATATATATATATATATATATATATATATATATATATATATATATATATATATATATATATATATATATATATATATATATATATATATATATATATATATATATATATATATATATATATATATATAT